TATTGTATACGATTTTATGTATTATAATATATAAAAGATATATCAGTTCTCAATGCAAGTGTCAATAAACATAACACGAAAGAACAAAAGAATACGAAATAATCATAGTTCGAAAATTGAGATACGTTCTCGTTACAGTTTGAAAAAAAGGGCTTTCTAGGACTTTCAAACATAACAAGAAGAAAAACGCTAAATAAGAAAAATCTGTTCTAGCACTTGTACATTATAAATGCAAACATACTTCAAATCAAAATCTATTCGGTATTTACAATGTGTGTGAGAAGATGATTTATGACCATCAATCGGTCATGAAACGCGTTCTTACGGGGATGAGACTTGGATCTACGCCTGCGGTCCCGAAACCATCGACCAATCGCACGAATATTGTGCAACGTGTGATCCAAGACCGAAAAAGCCCCACCAAAGTCGCTCAAAAATGAAAATCAAGTTAACAGTATTCTTCGATTATCGTAGTGTTGTGCAGTATGAATTGCTCCCACCAGGTCAAACTATACACAACGGGCATTACATGAGTGTTATGTGTCGTTTGCGTGAAGCTATTCACAAGAAAAGGCCGGTATTGCGCAGAGATAACTTGGAATATAATAACACTGATCAAAATTTAGCATATCGTAACTTGTACATAATAGGTAGGCAAAAATGAAAAAGGGAATCGCTAGCTTTCTCCATCTCTTCCTTTCTCTCTCTCTCTCTCTCTCTCTCTCTCTCTCTCTCTCTCTCTTTGTTAATTTACTACGTGGCACTTACCAGTAAAAATGATTGTTGAAGAGCAGGAAAATTTCTTTTCTGACAACCCAATATTTAACGCAAGCGAATTGGTTTTCTTCCGAATGCCAAAATGTAATGCACAAATTTATTTATAACATATCTAATTATATAACATTCATGTACATGTAAATGTTTATAAACTACACAACATCTTCATTAAAATAAACTATTATATACAAAAATTTCGAAAATATATTTGAAAAATTAATTTTGATTTAAATGAATAAACGGATCAATTCGTTACGTAAAACATCCCCATTACAGCAAGGGCATTTGTGTTTCAATCGCAAAGCTCGATATATGCATTCTCTGCAAAATACATGTCCGCAGGGAGTAGTTGTGGGACCTGCAACTGATTGCAGGCATATCCCGCAATTTATGTGATTTCTGTTATTATTATTATGACTGATATCATGTCTACTCTGATTGTCGGTACGTTGCGAATGCCCACGAGCACTACCGGTTCTACTTCGATGATACCCTCCGTAACGGCCACTATGAGTAGTAGTAGCAGTGCTGTCAGTGCTACAGCTGCTGGAGCTTCTAGAATGCGTGTCGCTGTAAGAAAAGTCATCCCAGCCCTCACCGTCACTATAACTTCTTGTTATTGATGAAGCAGACATGCCTTAAAAATTCGCAAACAATATGAAAATTCGTGTAAAATATTTCAAAATTAGCAAAATAGAGTGCAATAAGAAGATCTTAATGTTCCAAAGAATATCGTTTATGATAACGAAATATATACTATTCTGCCGACAAAATAGTTACGCCTAGTAATGGATGTTGGGCGCTTCTTTTAACCCCACATTAACATCGCATGCGATAAAGTGGGACATTTATCTCCTTCCCGCATGATGGAATATCAGTTGTAACATCTGCCGTATGGAGACACAGCTTGTGTCCTCGTAGCCAAGTTAGTTTAGAACCGCGCATAAACTGATACAAACAACTACACTCAGAATGTGCTGGGGCTTTCATACAACCCTGCTCGATGCAACGAGTGTCGCAGAAAACACGTAAAAAAGGGTATCAGGCATTGCAAACAAGGTAGAAGTATTCTGCGCACATGCGCTGGACACGAGGATTTATAAACGAGATTAATTAATCGAGGGCAGCAAGGAACCATGGATTTTTTTCTTAAGCAATTTATCAGCATGTTTTCGGCACCGTCTTTGCAGATTCGATTACGATGACGATCCCACCTGCCAACACTGTTTCGAAACATGCTCTGTTTAGATGCCCATGATTCAGCGATGAGAGAAGTAAAATTATACCTTATACGGTCCCGACTGTGGTACGACTGCTGCCCTTTGGGAAATGCTCTACAGAGTGTATTCGCACAGTGGACTGAGGATAACTACTTGTAGACGGACAATTTGAACTGCATTATATTTAGTGGCAATTTTAAGAGGATTACCCCCATACGCGAAAGGTGTTTTGGTGGGTGCAAGTCCCAGACTGACTTTAAGCTGTAAGTGCATTTCTTATCTTTAAAAAAAAAGAAAAAACACATCCATACACACGCATACATTACATATATTGCCAACAGGACTTATCAAAATATAACATGGAGGAGAACCATACATTCATTGTAATGCAAAGATAGATTGTGTCAACTCGAAGATATATTCGGCATTCATACAAATGATAATAGCGTTCACTGTCCCAATGAGTAAACAACGGTCGTGGATATCACGTAACGGTTAAATGAAGATGGCAGCGAGCTCCGTAGAACAATCATCCTTTTAACTGTATTACGGCAGCCAAAGAGGGTGTTATAATGATAGGACTGAATAGATGGGTAGCAGGCCTAACTTAGCTACTATCCCTGAATGATTGGTAGGGTACCTTGAATTGCGCCGTTGAAACGCTTAGCTTGAAAGTACGAGTGGACTGTATATTGGACTTCACTGACAGATGGCTACCAGCCGCTATTCCGGAATGCCTACTTTAATAGCTAAGCTAACACACTCGATCGCACCATCACCGTGGTTAAAAAAATTAAACGTAAGCAAAAATAAGAGCCGAGAAGAAAACCAGCAATCAGAAGGTGAGAAGTAAAACCATAACTCAAGATTTAGACTAAGCGACCATATCTCTGTGCTTAAAAGTAATTTAGATTTTTTGAATGCAAATAAAATTAAGATTTGAAATGCAAACAAAGGTTCAATTACATATATATAAAAACAAATTTCTAGGGGGAAGTCACACATGACTCGTAAAGATAGTTGATAAATTTGTAATGCATTGAAACTTACCCGATTCTCCTTTCGAATTTATGCGCAAACTTATTGTCTGAAAAGGTGCAGTGAATTTTACTTTTACCCACCAAAAATAAACAGGAAAATTGTATACCTTCTTGCTCTTGCTGATTAAGAAAGAAAGTGAAATGAACACAATCAATATCGAAAATATATTTCTGATTTAAAATTTTTCTCGCTTAGAACAATACCAAAACTAACCAAAATGAAATCAAATTTAGAAAGTGAGTAGAAAAACTTCGTTTGCGTAAAACGTCAAATTGAGCTTTTAGTTGCATAAGTAAAAGAGGGAATGGAATTAGAACGAAATCTGGAGGTAATCATGTATGAAAAATGTAATCTTTTTGACAAAAACGACTTAATGAAAAAGCGGAAAGCGGAAGAGGAAATAGTCTTATTTTATGTTTAGGTCGTAAAATTTCTTTGGATCATGTAACGAATTATATCTCAAAAATCATCAAACCAACACTTTTCACGTATTGATATCCCACCTAAGCGTCGAATGTATATTATAAATTTACAAGTCAGCCACGGACCTTAAACTTTTTGAATTCTCGACTTTTTTTTTCGTAAACAAATCGTTCAGTCAGTTAAAGTGTTTTTTTTTTCAATATGGACTAATCAATGGCCAGTTGAAGTGAACCTATTTTGGTTGAACCATTTTTGGGACCTTCATAAGAAAAAAAGTGCTACTCAGCCACAACATTTCTTATCGATCAAAATAAGTAGCAATGTCGGGTGAATACGACAACTGAAGCAGAACTTCCTTCTTAAGGTTTCAATTCTTTGTCTTAAAACTTTTTGGGTACGCCATACCGTTCTCTGTTTTAATTTTTGAAACGTCTCAGGACAGTGAACCTTCTGTGCAAAAAAAAATATTGGATGCTTGCGAAGATTTCTGCCCCATTTTAATGGGTTATAGAAGCATGAAAGAAGGAAGCAATGTCTGTGTACGTTCGACTTGAAATATGGAAATATGTGGAAAGGTGGACAGACTACTTCGGGTAGGAAATATCACTTCTGGTAGCTTTCTTAGGTGGCTAGCGAGGATGAAGAACACCTAGTCGCGGTAGTGTGTCGTGCAGCTTCGAGGAGCAATGGAGGAGATTGCTGAGAAAGTTGAGTAGTATTACTAAAGGATTTGATTGGTAGAATAACCTACTTTATCTCTTATCACAACTCAAATTGAAACGGACAGTGTAACGACAGAACTTTCTTCTTCATATTTTCAATTCCTTCGTTGCCACATTTGCGATAAAGGAGTTGTAAAAATTGAAAACGATGGAAACTCTAGAATTGATTTCAAATCGAGCATGGACTTTTCAAATCATCTCATATTTGTAGCATTTTTCAGATTGATCGCCATCTTAATTTTTAAGCTTATGGGAATTGTTGTTGCAACGATCTCTTCTTCCAATTTTTCGGCTAAGAAATGTGCGGTTATCATGTACGATAAATTTAATTCTCGCTCAGGTAATCAGCTGTTTAGTGAAAAGGCATGAATGCGAAAGTGAAAGCTAATTTTCAGTAATGCCTATCATCCCATATTGTGCATTATTTCCGATTTTCTTTGTTTTTGAAGGTGGGAATTTGTCCAAATGTTGAGCTAATCAAATAAAGACGCGCAGTAGAACATGGCTAACAAAAACGGCGAATTTAGTGATTTTTTATCCTTCACCCTGATGTATTTGGATACTAGAATATGACCGACCATCTTTTTTAAGTATTTATTTATTTATATGAATGTATTATTTTATATATATTTTTAAACCTACTCTTTTTTACAAATAAAAATTTTTTTACTAAAAACTCTTTCATGGCATTTTGGATATTTTCATATTAAGAAATATAAAAACACTTAACCGAGCTTACACAGAAAGCGTTACGTGGCAAAATTAAATTGCATGCAAAGTACATACACGTAGAATTGTTCCCTCTTTTGAATTAGTATTAATTGTCCTTCTTGTGTTCAGATTCATTACGTTCGGGGGGGAACGCTTCGGTATCGATGCCAAGCTCATCGATATCAATCCCAGCTATTTTTGAGTATTTACGAAGTTTTTGTAATTTAACAAGCGTTTCTGGTGGAACTGGTTTGCCATCAATTACAACTGATGGTAAATGTTGCTTTTCCTCCTTTGTAGGCATGCTTTCTACTTCGGCACCACCACCATTTCTAGTATAAGTAAGTGTTCCTTGCTTCGGTGGACTAGTTGCATCGATATCATTTTCCTGAGCATTTGATTTGTTTTCGACATATTCTCGATTAGGTTTAATGCAATTACAATCGCGATCGTATAAACCCAGGAATGTTTTACAATTGGCGCAATGTAAATATTCAACATTTTGTCCAGGAAAGAGGCAGGGCAGAAAGCAAAAGGGCCAACACCCTAAGAGACAGCAAGCACCGCAATTGTTATAAGTGAAACGCTCTGTACGTGTTTTAATCAATGGCCTCTTATTGCAGCCACATTTTGGGCAATAAATCGTTCCGTTCGCTGGACGCCATTTCTCAATTGACGTCCGATAAAGATTTCGTTTCGCAGGTGTACGCAGGCTATGAGTATTAAGTGTAGTTGCCGGTGGAGTATTTATTTTATAACGTCTAGTGTATATCACTTTAGTCTCTGAATTGTTATCGTGATTACAATGTTTAATTTCAGGTAAACTATCCACTATAGTAAGAAAGTGTTTTAATAAGTATTTTAATTCTTACGGCTTTACAAAGAGACCACTTGCACTGATTTTTACTTACATTGTTCAGATTTGATCGAGTAATGGGTCATTTCAATATCTGGCGCACCATTCCGAGATAGAACCGAATCTGATACAGTGGTATCACGATGTGACGGGCGTAAACTTGAACGTTGAGATGTGGCTTTCGGTTCGCTACCCTTTCCCACAATTTCAATTTCTGGATGATCAGTTCGTATATGATCCAAGAGTACGGCGGTGTCAAAACGTGAACACTTCAATATTTTGCGGCATTTTAAACAACGCACATAATGTATTGCATTCTCTCCTACATTTTTAGTTCCAGATTCCATTATACATGTTGTAATGGAGTTGTTTTTCTTTTTGTTCTTCTTTCAGTTATCCTATTATTATTTTTATTGATTTTAGCCTGTTTCCCTTTCACAAAATTTACAGGATCACAGAAAAATTACAGGAGTACAAAAAATGAAGCCGAAAAAAACTAAAACAAACTAAATTATTTCTACGGGTTCTGAATGAAAGAAACTTTCCAAACATTTCAAATATTTGAATAATTGAGTGATAGACGCACTGACGCAATGTTGTAATTTATAAAATAAGAGAAATTGTAAAATAGGCAGAAAATTAAGTTCTGGAAAATATCGAACGCACAATGGGGTTTATATAATATGAGTGTTAGGCCTATTGTAAAATGTGAGGTATTCCTGAATGATGTTGACATCTTCCTCTTTAGCACGACTAATATTATATTGAGTTCACTTGATGGCGCTTTTAGATTATGGCATGGATGAGCGACCAAAACACAAAGGTCATTGCATGCAAACGGTTTTTTTTTTGGGAACTTTAGGATGATCAATAGAGACCACTGGTACCTCAGAATTAATAGGGCTATCTTCTGTATGAACTAACTCATTACTTGGCAGCGCGGGCTATAACTTGTCAAATCATAACGTTGCGTTACGGGCATCTTTTGTTAGAACTTTTACGGCAAGTACCAATGTTATTCTGTTATTCTGTATAAAGACATCTGATCTTTTTCTAAACTTCATAGAGAAGCTATCGACGGAGAAAAGGAAAGACACTTTATAAAATTGCTTGTAATTTGGGAAAAGGTTCGCAAAAGGTCCCATTTGAAAAAGAAAAATATCTGCTTCCATCGTGATACCCACAATTCAAATGTTTATATAAATAGCAATAAAAACAAGAGTAGGAATCGTCATGAGAATGTTTGGGTTTTGAATATCCTTATGTGGTCAAGTTTTTTTTTTTTAAATCTATAAAAATAAACTTGTTCAAAAATCGAATTGCAAAGCCTGGCTCGAGAAATAAGTCAATAATTCGAAGGACCTTTAAATCTGTTTGCGTACATTATGTAGTCTTTATCAAACTACTCCTCGTTTCAGGTTGTCTGCGTGGAAGTAAGACCTTGACAGACCAAGACTATCTGCGATGACGCTTGTAATGCTTAGATAGAATGTGTAATATCAGAGAAAAGGGGTCATTAGCTTAGTTGAAATTGCAAAACCGAAAAAAAAAATATATGAAAAAAAAAAGAAACAAAAAAGATACGTCGTCACTGGATATGTGTCCTTTATATATTTGTAGATATCCTCTATAACAGTTATGTCCATTAGCAAATAAGTGTGTCTGTTTGCTACGGTTCGACTCCATATCCTCGCTATAGACTTACCATTAGCTGTGGCAATTTCACTCTTTCGTTTCTCACCAAAATCATTACAGCCAGGTTTTCTTTTGGTCAATGCATCGCAAAATAAAGATAATATTGAAAATAAATTGACAATTTACGTCATAGCACAATCATTATCAAATTCGATTAAAACGCGATGATGAATAAAATCAATGGATATTGGATATTGGATTATTATATAGGGCGGCCGTATAAGCAAATTTTCGAGTCGTTCGTATTCTAGATAAATATAGGCAGGAAGGTGCCGACGTCCGCGATAATTACGTTTTACTTTTTACATTACGAAAACAAGTTCTACAGAGACGATGCGATTTCAAGCAAAGAGAAAGAATATGAATATCATTTCGTCAAAACGTTAGCAACATCAGGAAAGAAGCTTTAGAGATTCCATGGAGCAGGTTACATCTATTCCTGATTAGCATCAAATTTTGATTTAAATACGCTCGTCTGTCAGCCTACGCTTGTACTCGTCTGTGAATTCGTGTGCCTGTCCGTCCGCTTGCCTGCCTACTTATCTGCCTGTGGTAAGCATCCTTCTGGTTACAAATATAAGCACAACGACTTCGAATTCGACAAAAGCACTCGAAGTTGTTAGACGTACGTTGAAATTGAATATGCGTCAAACCCCTCAAAGCATAAAAAATGGATATTTTTCTCCTCACTCATAAACTGCAACAATAATATTTGTCTTTTCTATATTGATATAAAAGTGGCGGGTATAAAAGATTCCGTAACAGCCGAACGCAATTTTTTTACTTGTCTTCTTTTTCTTTTGTAAAAAACAAGAAAGCCAACCATTATCTACCCTGTACCATTTTCCGTAGTCTCTCGTCTTGGCAATAATGCTCCAAAAAGTACACATTATTACACCGACGTAATCCATATTCACTACAGTTAATCTTTGTGATGAAATGTTAGCGCGAATAAATTTTTTAGCATAAAATACCAAAAATTTTCCCTTTTCCCGAACGACTTATTACTCATTAGACATCCCATATGGAGTGTGGCTAGAAAATAGACCTCTGTGATTCAAATTAGGTCCACCTAATTTATTTAACGTTAGTATAGAAATTTCAATTGAACACAAATTTATATGGAAAGACATCAGACGGATAGGCGGAGGGCTAGATAGATGACCGCATGGTCGAAATATTCGATGTTTGCCCTTCTAATAGGGTGCTTGCCTAATTCAGAGTATAGGCGCAAATCCTGCGTTTACGTTTGTAGCACGTGTATATTTATCACTTGTTATGCCGTACACCATTTGTGGTACAGGGTGTATTAAGTAGTGCGGACGTTTGTAACATGCAGAAGCGCTTAAGATAAATCCAACTTTTATTATACCGATCGATTTAGAAACATTTTCTAAATTTATCTAAGCCTGTCTGTCCGTCTGATATCTGTCCACGTAACTTTGTGTTCAAATTATATTTAAGATATATTAATGAAATTTAGTACACTGACGCGTTTTGACCCAAGGACGAAAGCAATTGGTTGCATCAAAAAAATTTTTGACCCCTCTCCAAGTAACGCGCTATTTTGAGAAGTCATTACACGGAAAAAATTGCAATTTTCAAAATTTTTCGATAAAAATGGCATTTCGGCGTTCTAAACTAAATTGGTATGGAAACTTTGGACGGGCTGTGGCAATTTTGAACGATTTCTCATATAACGAAAACTCGAGTTCGAATGACAGAAAGATCTAATTTCAAATGCTTTATGATGAAAATCGGATCATAACAGTAATTTAAGATAAAAACTTATTTGTACCGAATTTGGACAGTTTTTGGATCGCACCTTAATTAGGATTTTCATAAAAATTGGTTCCTTGTAAAATTGGCCGATAACAGTGATTTCATACAAAAATAAGTATTGTGGACAGACAAGGCGATGTAGCGTATTTGATGGTCGGCCTTGCTCAACTATAATATTCTTACTGGTGTTGCATAAGCTTCAATTTATGGGATGATGATCAAATTAATGTGTGAAGCGTGATTAGAAAATAAAATTCTGTTGTCTTGAAAGTTTGGTTGTCTTGTTGTGGTGCAATGTTTTCAATATGAAGGAGTTTTTTCTTGAATACTTAACAAAGCGATTCTTTTGTCCTAAGTAATTTGCTGAATTATTTAAAATCAAAATCTTTGTGAATGAAAAATTATGTAAATCGAAAGGTAAGTTTATTTGTACGTTTTTACAGATCTCAATATAAGTAATCAATTCCTTCTTAATACATTTCCGTCTAAAAATACTGATGGTAAGTAATAACTGTTTATTTCTTAAAAACTTCTTAAAACGTTAACCTTAATGCAATAAAGCACTTTAGAATCTATGCCAGATCTTCTCATCATCATTTCATTTATTACTAAAATTTCGCAGTTTACATAAATCTTGAAATTATTCACATTCCCTCCCCTTACATGACTAGGCTGTACGTGTACCTCTATCTATTTGATTTTATAATATGGTGATACGCTATGGCGACTATACTAAGAATGACGTCTTTGATTTGATGAAATCATTTCACTTGAAACCATTGCCTTTAAGTCGACCAATGATCAATTTTGACTTATAAACACATTATTTCGGCATACATATAAAAACATGGTGAATAACGAAAAGTAAAATACAAATTATTTAAAAAAGGTAGTAAAAGTATAGTGAACCTTGTCTTTACATAGTTTAGCCGTTCATTACACAACGAATTTTCAAAATAAATTTTTATGCATGAATTGGCCAAAAAAGTGGCGCGATACGGGCCATTTCTGAAAACGTGCGTCCTTAGGCCAAAACAGGTTAGTGTACCAAATTTCCTTAAATATCGCTGCAAATTTGCGGCCCGTAAGTTGAACACAAGAAATCAAGACAAACATGCGGGCAAACCTGCTTAAGTCGATTCATCATGTGATTATGAATCGATCGATATAATAACAGATGAGTCCATCTCGAGTCCTTCTGGGTGTTGTATATACTCGCACAAACTTAATATACCCTTGTATAGCAATTTGTGTAGGGGGTAACAACTTACTGATTGCTTAAGAAACGATAAATTTAATGTCCTCCTCAAACTCATCTAGATAATGTACGTATCATATGTGACGTTTTTGTAGCCATTGCCGAAGCATCCGGATACGTTCATTATAAAAAGCAAACAAAATCCTAAAAAAACCCACATTGGCTTGTGAATCGATCTGACCATGTTGGTCTGTATGTATATTCAGAAGATTCTCCTTATCACAGAATTAAATTTGGGAAAATCGTTAGAAGTTCTTGCACCCACCTCGTTGTTGCAGATTGACTCAAACCAATGAAAGAATATGACTATAGTGTTAATCAAACCGAGAACACTTCTCTTTTCAGAGGCAAAAAAAAAAAATCATAAACTGCATTAGAAAGATAAAAATTTCCATTCAAATTCAAAATGTGATCCTACAGTGTTTGTAAAAAAGTAACAAAAGTCGATCATGGCCTCTCCATATTCTAATGTGTCTAAATTGCATTCTTTTATCAAATCGTGTTTTTTTTTTTGCGTGTTTTTAAAAAGGAAGTGATGGAAATAAAAGACTCCGTCACAGCTCAATAACCTTTTCCTCTCTTTTTACAAGCAATTCTGCGTTATTGGACGGATACTTGATCACAAGATTGTTTATGTTTTTTGGCTCTAGCCAAACTAGATTTCAAAATAATTGCATTTGGAACGATTAACCCTTTGTACATTCTACAATCAACTTCAGAACAGAATATCAATTCAATATTTTACTTTATTAATACTACTAAGCTTGTTATCTAATATCCATTTTTTTAAATTAGAGCCGATAGCCTGTGTTGCTAGTGCTCAATGTCTCTTTTTTTAGTCTAAGAATTCAATTCATTAGTCTAAAATTAAAATAATAATAAATAATAATAAAATAATTTTACTGAAACTTTCGGCGACTGCATTATTATTTTTGTGTGTGACGAAACTATGATTTTTTGATTGATATCAGTTGGAATTATTGATAACGTATTCAATGTAAACGCAGTCGAGGGCAAATAACCCGTCAATGAATAAGTTCGTAGCATTACATGCAGACGTCGCCATTTATTCATTCACAATTCAGCGATTTCACTTTTCCCTCTTTCAAAATGTTTTTGTACATTCTATTTATTTTTCAACAACTGCCGAATTCCACCGACCAGGGCGTTCAACATCATCGATGTTTGTATCACTGCGTCTAAAATTACAAGCCACCTCTCTGGCGTCTGCCTCGACGGAGAAAAGTCTAATAGTAGTTGCCTCCCATGTAAAATCATGAGCCCGTAGAGACTTTAGGTAGGGCAAGGCAAAGGGTGGCCCATGGCATAAGATCATCTTGTCCGGTAAGAGATTTTGCCTGTTCGTCTGCCAATATAAGGGTTTTAGCGCGTGTATTTCTTTGGTGTAGCGGTCGTTGAGTATCTGTGAAATAAAGATAGGAGCGATCTCACGACACGATCTCTATTACACGTAAAAAAGTTGAAGCAAATTTCAGTTTATCTTATGTTACACAAAACTGGGGACAAAATTAGACAAAGAGTACGATATCAGATCGCAGACATCTTATGTTACAGGAAAGGGGCTTTCTTTGATTGGTTGTTAAAGTGGAATGACTTTTTCAACACAGGAAATTCAGATGGTAATTACGTAGCTGAAAGTTAGCTTGCGCTAACCGGCTTTTTCATTTGTGATCACGACACACACTTTTGGATTGTTTTGAAAATGACAAAAGAAGCTTCACTAAAGCAGCTGTAACTCGTAAATTAATAATCGTAATGTTTTGAAAATGGCATGCTTTTCGTTTGAAGATTGGTACTAACTAAAAATCATATGGGTTTGTCGAATGTGACGGTACTTGCATATGGATTTCGATAGTGATGTCTACTCATGGAGATATTTAACGCTAAATGCTTTTTTTATACTATTTAATTTGATATCCATACCAAAGGCATGCAGATGTGCTATACACGAATTCTGTCATACTCTGCAAAGACATCTGGAAGAATGTACATACTGAATAAAATATTTTTATTCATGTCTGTCTTTATGTCCGCCTCTCTGTCGCTGGAGTTTTCTTATGATCGATTGATTGGCATGTCCGATGGCCTTAGCTTAAGAAAATCCTCTTAGTCATATCTGTATTTATGTCCTTCTCTCTGTCACTGAAATTCTGTTATAGTCTCTCGATTGGCCTATCTTGGGACTTTAGTCTCAGAAAATCCTTTTAGCAATATCCGTCTTTATGTTCTTCTCTCTATCACCGGAAGGCTGTGCTGCGCTCTCGATCGGCATGTCTCATGGTCTTAGGAGAATTTTTTCGATTTTTTAAGAAATCAAACGTTTACATTTATTTTTAATAATTCGTTGTTAAAAGATAATTAAAATCGAAAGTTATTTGTGAGGCACATTGACTTTCACTTCATTTTCTTTTCTTTTTTTGTTTTATTATTATTTCTTAAATATTTTTACCACTAATCATTTAATTAACTAATTTGCCTTAAAATTATGTAGGAATTTCAAATAAATGTTACGCACCCTCTCCCCCACCCCTCCACCCTTAAACTTTAATATAAACTCACATAAAGTGCTGTGTTTAACATAAAGGTTACACTGTTTGGAGAACTACAGATAATTCTATTATATGTTAACTTAAGTACCGAAAGGAAATTATGCACAGACTCTTATATGTAAAACTTATAAATTATTAGACATTTACTTAAATTAGTATTGATAGACGCATAAAGATAAGCAATGATAAGGATGTGATAGAATTATATGAATTTTGAATACATTTAGATAATCTCATCTGCGCATATCCTCCCTTATAGATATCAAAAGAAGATAAAGATAACGTGAGGGCACTGCTGAGTCACTTCTCTTTGTTCTTTTGTATTATGTTTGTGTGTGGATGTGTGTCGAGACAAGACATAGTTGGCACGTATATAACAAATGCATGCACCTGCTTTTTGTTTTTCTCTTTTTTTTTTTTTTTATTATTATTATTACAGTGTATTCTGTTTATTGTATTCAACTGATTTCACTGAAGAGGAAGGACGAGGCTTTGGTCGTTTTTTCGGTTGCAATGAATATAGACGTCCACTGCGTGGTGGCCGAGCATGTTGTTCAGCTAGTGAAGCGTGAGCTAAATGATAACTAAATTTTACAGAAATGAAAAGTAATTCAATTATTTTTAATTTAATTATCAGCATTTGTTCTCTTATTTACTTACTTTAACTCTAGTTTCGCTAAACGTTGCTTCAGTTTAGCCTGACTCGCCGTGTACTCGGCTAATAGACGTGCCAAACGCATATTAAGATTTTCTACAGATATTTCTAATTTTTCTATACCACCTTCTATACTATCATGAACACGTTGCGAATCTAAACGCGAATTTAATTAAATTTATTTGTTTTAGTTTACTATTTTCGTCCTGTGGTGTCTGTTTCACCTTACCTGCAAACACTTGTTCATCAAGTAAACCATCTTTACGTAGCAATTGACATCCCCTTTCAGTAAGAGTGGCACGTGCTTCCGGGTAATCTGCCAAAGTTTCCCACAAATCACGTTTAGCCAAACAAAAGAGATCTGAATAGCCAAGTGAACGTACATTGGCGGTGCGGCGATTGCCTGTGCGATTGCCTGCTATCTCCAATACTGAAACCTCGCCAAACACCGACCCAGCACCAAGTGTAGCGAATACAGTGACACCGTCATCAGCAACCACAGATAATTTGCCCCGTTTCACTATATACATCTCTTTGCCTACGTCACCTTTACGGCATATATAATCGCCTGGGCTGAATACTTGCAGTCTTAATTTCAAAACCAATGCTTCCAGTAGTCCTGGTTCGCAATCGTGAAAAATGCGTACTTGTTTCAAGGTATCCATGTGAACTTGTATTGCGATCTCCGCTTTCAGCTTATCTGGCAAAGCGGCCAATACACGTTCTTCGTCGAGAGCACCACTTTGCGACCACGTATACGCGAACCAACGTATTACGCGAGCTTCCAATTCATGCCCCACTTTTCGAAATGCCATGTATTGTTTAACACCGTCCATGCGATTTTGAAACTCGACGCGTGATACATTCATGTTAGATATCATTGAGCCAATGTTACCTAAAGCATTTAACAAAAAAAGTAAATTAGAAAAGAGTAATATTTCAATTACGCTGAATATTGCTTGTATTGGGATATACTTTTATGCGTACATAGAATACCACATATGATGAATACTGAAGAAATTACAAAGCATTTTAATGGCACGAACAAAGCAAACGATTAAAATCGTTATATCTGCTTGTTTTTTTTTATAGGATCAATACTTCGGGTCGTGTTCCTCACAAGTCTAATATGATGATGATAAGAAAGATCGCTCGATCGGTAAGTGTGATGATTCAACGGACCGAGTATTCACTATAGCCGCCGCCGCCCACCAATCGTAATTAAATTAAGATCTACCGCACCCATGATTGAACTGAGATATTCTGGCTTAAGAGTGGCGATTTTTGACTGCTTGGCTGTGACCAAAATGGTAGTCTATATAAGCCTTGTGGAAAATTTTGAACCGCTAACGCTTCTCGTCGGTAAAAGGTCAAAATTTTGGGTAAATTTAGATAAATGATTCTAAGTTGAAATTGTCCGCTAATTAAGCATGTTTATGTTAGCTATTGCACCCGTCCACTTTCTCACATGAAAAATAAGATTAAGGAACATTTGATTAGCAAAGAAAATAGATGGGTTGCACCTTCCCGGCCTAACTCCAAGACTCGTACGAACACATCCGCATTTCCGAATATCGAAAGAGTGAAACTTTGAAAATTTTTCTGGAGTTGGCAGAAAGGTGTCGTACAACTTTTCACTCTACCCATTAACTTCAAAGTCAAGTTTAGTTTTATTCACCGCATTGATAATTATACGCAAAGAAAACAAAGAATTGCATCCATTCCATAGAATGGAAGAGTGAGAGAAAGAGAAAGAGTGAGAAGGCGGGAGGGAGGGAAAGAGGGAGGGACTCTTTTGACTGTTCATATCCCCCACTCGAAATGATAAAAGTCCCATTCGCGTATAATTCTGTTAATTTATGTAACGGATATGTCCTTGCATTAAGTCAAATGTGAAAATCATCTGAATGAAGTTACAACGAGTTCTGGGCTTGTTTACACGCCAGAAATGAAAACTTCTTTTATGCACTTGTCAATTCGTGCGAATAGTAAACTAAAAAAGCGTATGTAATTACATTGAGGCTTACAAACATTTATACCCTATATGATGCGAAGTAAATTACATCTGTACGGAGGCATATAACCTCTGGAAGTATGTCAGTTATATATATTTTTTATATATTACTCTACCTATTATTTTAAAATCGTCTGTCTGATGTCTGATGTTTGTCACGTCGGAATGTTACAATTTTTCAAATATTTTCACGAAATTTTGTATATTCATGGCTCAAAGATAAGATCTCGTGAAAATGCATACATGAAAAGAATTTGCATTTAGAAAACCTAGCGGCAAAGACGCTAAGTCAAGGTACCTCGGCATACTAAACCAGGCAATTCGGACTTGATCTTTCGATCCAATCTTTTAAGTTCGTTTCCATATCACCAAAGGACAGTGAAGCCAACCTCACATTACGGAAAAAAGAAGACTCTACTTCCCCACTAATGAGCTCAGTCGCGAAACGCACAGTAAGACACACCCTTCTCTTCTCAAGTAACTTTAGGCCGAATAAAAGGAGGATGTTCTCGAGAGGAGGAAGTGTTGTTCTCCCCGTGTAAGCTCACGAAGAGCAAATAGGTGAATTTGTTTCTCGGAAGATATCACCGTCTGCACATAATAACTATATAACCATAGCTTGGTGTTTGGTCACTGAGGCATACTCGATAGTAAGTTTAATATACAAGAGGTATAAGCCAAACTCCTTAGCCCACATTTTTATGAGCCAAAGAGTTGACCTAGCCTTATTCACCATTGATTACACTTGAAGATTAAATGTCAGTGATGTAAAAAATTTAAAAGTCGACTTTACTTAATAATAATAATGTTTTAGTTATTTCAAATAACTTTTGCAATTTATTATTACAAAGAAAAGAATCTTTTTGAGAAGGCCTCCCAAAAAAAAGTAGATGAAAAAAACTAATAACAATAGTAAAAAGAACAAAAAAACATACAATTTAAAGACGAAGTGTAAGGTACTTTCTTTCATCTTGACTTAGTATCTTAGTACCCGGACGTACGAGGACTGCATGCATTCATTAAGAGTTCCATAGCATAAGTTGCTTTTCTTTTTTGTTTTTTTTTGTTTGAAATGCTTACCGACAATGGTAGCGAAGATTAAAACGCCAGCCAAAAAGTCCGCTACAACAAATAAATATTCAGCATCATTTTCTGGTGTTGGCGTCTCTCCAATTGTAGTCAATGTCAATGTCGACCAATAGAAACTGTAAATGTATTGACGTTGCAAGCTACTATTACGTTCGCCATTCAGATTGTAGACCCAATTGTCGGTGCCAAAGCCCAGTTCGTAGCTGATAACAAAAAACATACAAGCATTCCAATGAATTAACACCAAAATGGCGAGAACAACTTTACAAATACGGAATGCATTCGGATAACCGGTGGCAGTTTCGGTACGATCGAACCATTCCCACATACGTGGCAGTCTTAGTAAACGATTTAAGCGTACAATTACAGAGCATGGCAGGTTTTTTGGACCGCATAAATCGGGCGACCACCAAATATAAGCCAGATCGGTGGGCAATATTGAAAGGAAATCTAAACACCAGCCTTTTGTACTAAAATAGTGACGACGCAATTTATGGGCGTCACGTACCAGAAGTCCTTGCTCCAAATAACCTAAAATGAAATACAAAAAAAAAGGAGAGATTTTAAACAATAACAAATAAATTGTAACGCGAGCAACCCTCTAAGTACTCGTCAGAAACCTTGCACACAAACAAGAAATGAGAAATTTAAGTTTGCATTATTGCAAACCTTGATTGTCTACCACATACATGTATATAAACTCAATTATATCGTATTTTTATACCCATCGCACCCAAGGATATAAATATATGGTCTTTTTTTTTTTTTTTGCAGTATCGACTTCATATAATATATGTATCTTTGATCAGGGGAGAATCTACAGCCAATTTAGTTTTGTAGATTTGTCTGTCAGCTTTTGGGATGCATGCGGTATGAGCACAAGTTAATAGAGATAACTGATACGTAATGAACGTTAAACAGGAACCACATATTTATTTCAAGCGTTAGCGATGTGCACCTGCAAGCATGCCTTTAAATACATAAATTCTTTGACTCTCGATTTTAGAAGATATATTGAAATACAATTTGGTACTAACATTTTCCGAGACCATTTGAAAAACTAGTGTAAAATGAAAGTAGTGCTAGACTTATGAAACGTTGACAGTTCACTTTTAAATATTTTTAATAAATCGTAGAGCGAACTGTTTATATATGGTTTTTTATTTGGGACTAAATACGAAATGGACGCTAAAATGCAATGAAATTATCTGAAATGGTGAAAATGCAATAATTTCATTTAATTTATAATGGAAGGAAATAACTTTTATACTTGTATATAATTGATAAGCATATTAGATTCGTCCTCCCGCCGAAATTTCAAATCTTCAAATGCAAATTGCCTTAAAAAGCTGAAAATTTACTGAATCTATCCTGCCATTCAAAATTCACACTAATCGCTATTTCCCGCGTTTGAGTGTGAATTTTTACTGTATTGTGATGTCACATTGCAACGGTTTTTGTTTCTTTTTTTTTACGAGAGCTTTTGTTGGTTGTGGTCGTTCGTGTGGAGTTCGTTCTTTAGCCTCCTCAATCATTTGATTTAGATTTGTGATTCGGAACTAATTGCGTATTCGCATGAGTTGTCATTAACAATGTGTCTGTTGTACAGAGAACTCGAAATTTATTACTGTAAAAATATTTATAAAAGATATCGTCACAATTTGGTGCAGATAAATTTTGAAAGTCTGAGAAAGCAATTTGTAATTCAATGTGTTTGAAGGTAATATTCGTTGCGATCACGCTTTCAAGTGGTCTTATTGTAATTCTTACATTCCTACAATGAAAAAGTTAGTTGAACAAGTCCGAATATTTGAAACAAAGTTTCGCATGCCTTCGATTTGCTGAGATTGTTAAAGGAATCGTGGAGTGAAATATAGGGTTCATTTTATTGAATAAGCCTTCCGTGTGATACGTACATGGCAACGCTCTTGAGGGACACACATGGTTTCTGGATAGTACCAATCTTCAAACGATTCGTGGCATCTCCACTATTAGTTCATAAATTGCAGTCGAATGAATGAATGAATGCAAACGTATGAATGGATTTCTAAGATCATTTAAAACCACTCGCTGCCATTTATTATAAATAGGACAAGTAACTTATTCCGGGAGAGATAATCACCTTAGAATGTTTTACCAAAAAGTAACTCAATGTGACCCGAAAAGCGTGACATTTACTTAGCATGGGAGGTGATCGCGTATCTTTTGCACTATTATCGGCTTGGACCATAGTGATAGACGATAACCGTGTTTATTTCATTTGTGTGAGACTCTGGCTATCACTCTCGCTGCTGGTTTAAGTAGTAGAAATGAACATAATTTTTTTCATTTATTTTCTTGTTTTAGTAAAAATATGTTTTCATTTCATTTGGCCACAAAAATTATAATTTTATTAGAAATTCTCTTTTTGTATATAGTTTGCACGGAATTCTTTAGTAGAGGCTTTACTGTAAGCCCACGGTCGAGAATAAAGCTACCGGTATTTAATGAAAGTTAAGCGATTATCAGTTCACGCATGCGTCGGCAATCCTTTTTTTTGTAAAGACTGTTGTTGTTTGCTAAAAAAAATAACCACAATTTGAATTCTAATTACGAACATTTGAAATTATTGCCAAATTATACTTCTCTTTACAAAATAAATTTCGGTTCGATGTTTTTCCTTAAACAAAGGTCATGCCTGAGAAATAATGCATCACTGCGCTAGAGTATTTGCTTTCTTAGTAGCGGGACTACTGTGAAAATGTTAGGTAAAGAAAAAGCTTCGTAGCATTTTCAATTATAACTTGCTGAGTGAGGCTTCAAAAAATTGTGATATCCCTGCGGAACTAAGTATTGTGCAAAACAAGTAAGAACATTATAATCGGGCAAGGTCGTCATTAAATACCCACCACACCCACTACAACACACTGTCTAACACAACTCTAGAACACAAAAATTATTTTTTGTTCTATATAAAAAATAGATCCAGATGGTCGAAATTTGGTACATTTAATTTGTTTATGTTAAGTTACTATTATGATATAATTTTCTTCATGATGCATTGGAATATGCTACCCTTTTGCCGTTTGAACTTCAGTTTTCGTTATATGGGTAAGGGGGTTCAAAAATTTCCGCAGCCGGTCCAAAGTTTCCATATCAATTTAGAATGCCCAAACACCACTACTTAGCCACTTTTCTGAGAAATTTTGAAAACTGCAATTTTCGTTAACATAACTATTTTTCAGAATAGTGCGCTATAGGGGGAGTGTTTCAAAAAGTGTGCCAATCCGAACTACTTTCAATAGAATATAGAGTTTGTCCTTGGTTCAAAACACGTTACTGTACCAAATTTCATCGAAAATTTCAAAAATTGCGAGGTACAGCTTGAACATAAATTTACATGAGCAGACTAAAAACGGACAGACAGGTTTAAAATCATAATCTGAATTGATCGGTTACATAAACGAGCGTTCCCTCTGCCTGTTACATACGACCGCTCTAAGCTGGTATACCTTGTACCACAAGTGGTGTAGGGTATAAAGACACTTTTGAAGCGTTTGCTTAAGGCTGAGTGTTAGAAGAGAAAGAAGAGGGAGAAGAAAGATGTTTGGGTGTGAGTCAGTAGTGAAAAATGTTATAGAAAGAATTCCAACCTACAAATCGCAGCTGGAAAGAAACGAGATAGAGCTATTTTTGAGGACAAAGGATGATAATGACCCACGACAAATATTTCCATTGCTTTTGTATTATGCGAAAATGATCGTGGTTTACGGTGGGATAAGCTGAACAATTCTTCGTACTCTTACAAAGAACTTATTTCTTTGTCAGCTATCGAATATATACATATATATTATACATATCATACTCTGCGTGATATACATAGAGAAAATTAAGGGTAAACCTGCCATACCGATGCAATGAAGCCTTTCTATCGGACTGTCTGTCCATTTGAATCTGTTCAAACAATTTTGTGCTCAATCAACAAGTCTCATTTTTATCTATATATATTTTGACTCTAATTAGTGTATAGACGTGATTTTACACAAGGATGAATTCTATTGAAACTGCATTCGATCGAACCATTCCCTCCAAAAGCCCCTATGACCCCTGTCTCGAAGAAGTCGTTTTATGAAAAATTTCCCGATAAAAAACTCATAATAATTTATGGACCAATTTTTTAACTCCATTTTGAAAAGTATGCCCTTTTTTTAATATTTTCTAACAAAAATTAATCCAGAATAGTAATTTGACGTGAAAATTAGATGTACCAAATTTGAACCGCTCGTGTCCCAATTTGTCTTTCGCCTTGAATCTTTATATAGCAGCCAGACTTCAACTTTAGCACTTTGATACGTAAATAGGTGAAAAAAGAATTGATTTTGGTAAATTTGGATCCGATTAGTTCAGGTTTTGGACCTCTTCCCATGTTAGAACCCTAACGAAGATTATGCCTTTGCATTGAAGCAAAATATGGTATTATAGATAAACGATTGTATAAGGGAAACTGGTGCAGGCTTGTCGCGGCTATTATTTGTTTGCCCATTTATCTGTAACTAGTAGCGTATGTATACCAACTATTGCTGAAAAAACGTCAAAAATTCAAATGCACAGTTGGATTTCTCTAAGTTATCTTAGAATCTGGCTCAGCCTAAGAATATTCACTTGACATGACACCCTATATCCCACATGGTCACATACGAATATTTATGTGCAATTGTTTTTATTACTTTTTTCTTCTTTTTTTTTTATTATTATTAAACTAAGCGGAAAAGCGGTTGTCATAAGCATACAATAACAAATTATGTCAGAGCATTTTGAAATTAGTCGTTTTTAATGAAAGGATTATACAAATTTTCGTTGCCTGTAGATGATTGTTGTTATATTTCTTGCAAATCTTCTTGTTTGCCTACATCGCAGATTTAAAACTGACATAGGCGGGGGGTGATAAATGAATCGTATATTTGCGGTAGAGTAATATGGAAGTACACATATAGAGTTTTCACATCATACTTACGCTTATGCATCTATTTAATGTAAACATTCAAGGTTACAATTATGACAACATGGAAGAGTTGCAGTGCGTTTTAGAATGAATTTCACTTTTGCTTTTCGTCGACCACTTGCTTATACACGAAAATATGGAAGGTCTTTTTGCGTTTTATCTGTTGGGAAATTTCAAGCCCAATTTTACATTATTATTGTCATTAGTATGCTTTAGCAAACGACTGACAATCAGTTCTGGTGCATTTTAATTTTTTCCGTACAATAATAATGCGTCGAGACGAAAAACTAAATAAAAATCACATCATATTATAAATGCATGTACCTTCGTGCATATGTACCAATATATCTATAAGATAGATGAAATCGCACCAGTAATCCAGAAAGTACCATAAGATAGCCGCTTTGTTATTTATCTCCCAAAATACAGCTCGACCCACTACAAAAATGATGTTATATAAGACAGCTAAGGAAACAACAGCTAACCACTGACAACAAAGTAATAAAAAAAATATATATATGTATTAAATGAAGTGCATTTTACAGTATATTAGATTGGCAAGAAGGAATTGTGCAATTGAAAGCTTTTCCTTTTCTCTCCTTTTTTCTCTCCCCTGTCTCAGATATGTAGTTATTTTATATCAACATGTCTAGGGGAAAATACTAATATATTTTTCGCTTGGAAAGATAAAGAGAAAGCAAGCGATTACATGTGGAGATTCTTTCAAATTATTTTCTTGCCTAACGCTTGTTACCGTGACCTGAAATTTAAAAAAGTACACTTACTCTATAGTGAGACTGAAGTGTGGGATTAACTGATAGACGATTACATAGGAGACTGGAACACCTGATCTCATGCTCTGTATCAGGTGCTATTGAATTTGTTGCGCTGGCATCGTTGTTATTGCTGTTGGTTGCCGTTGTTGATGTCTTATCAATTTTTGTTGGGTTCGAAAAACGTTCGACGAACCAATCGGGCGGTTTCGTTCGACTACGTTTTGTTAAACGTTGTCGCAAGGCATTTAATGTGCGGCGTAGTGTAGAGGGTTTTGAATGTTTCATTTGGTCCTGTGCAGAAAATAAAGAGAAAGAAAGTAAATTGTATTCATGAATACTTATGTGCGATATAATGGAAGCGCTAGTCAAGTTCAACCATTCTGAAAACTTTTTTTCTCAACGATTACATCAAATAATGCCAAGGAAAGTGCTTGGACATCCTCAGTCCAAAGTAAATAATAATTTGTGGAAAAAGTATTGAGAGAATCTTTTTTATCTTTCACACCCTTCCGACATATGGAAGCAAACACGATACCACTGATAACAATCCTTCAATATTTCTAACTATATATTGTAGTGTAAGCATAATTTGTCTAATTTGCTCCAATTATTGTTATGTGACCTGATTAATAGAAAATATTTTCGACATATTAAGAAAGCGCTAGATTTGCATTTCCCAACAAAAATGCCGTACAGTGTTATGTCATTTGAACTCTGATTGATATTTTTTTTATTTTCTTTTAAATATTGCAATAATAATAACAATTTTATGTGAACAAAAATTATAATTAAAAAAAAGAAATTTCTTTAATAACATCATCACTTTAATCACAAATAATCAAGTAAGTAGTTGTGTGTGAAAGGTTCACTACGACACATCTTAGCTAAAATATGATTTTTTAAAACTATACCTACATTGTCTGGAAGCTTTATATGATAAAAAGGTAGAATTTCCATTTTCCCAATGAAAATTAGCTGCTAATAGTTAAGAAAGACAAAGAAATCTACCTTACCGAATTTGGACCACATAACCCTAGTTTTTGAATACCACCGCGTATGAGATTCGCATGAAACGTAAACCTTTATATATCAAAAAAGCCCAATTGTTTTCAATTTTTTATGAAATTTTATTTATGATAGTAGCTACATAAAGTGGACCTACTTTGAACCATGTGGGTCAATCTTCTTTTCCTTTCTTTTAGTTATCTTTAGAATAACGTCATATCATTTTTTTACTTATTGCTATTTGAAGGTTTTTTTCGAAATATTTTGGATTTTAAAAATTTTTTTAAATTATTATTTTGTTATTTATTTGGCGAGTTAATAGCAATAAAATTATGGAATGCGAAATCTTCCTATGATCAACGGAAACTGTAATAGTTCCCCTCAAACTCATATCAATAACACATGCCCACCGTTCCCTCGCATGCGTAACGTTTCCTCTCAACTTTTCGACAAAAAATTGATTATTCGTAAGAACGTACTAACGTTATCTTTCAAAAGCGTATTTATGATAATGGTAACAACTAAAAAACACGAACGTCCATAGAAATGCATAGACATATTTCCAGGAAGAAAAAAAAATAGAGCGCACTCCGGGTGGTATTTCATTTGTTACTTGTCACGGTTCTAGCCCCTTTGTTGCCAGTAGAGCATATTTTTTTTTTTTTTTGAAAGAGGTTTGGCTCCCTGAGCCTCCTGACAAAGAATACTAAAAAAAAAGGAATAGTCCCGTCGGTTGTCTACCGTCCGTCGGTCCACCGTAAGTCAGTCTGTAACCGTCTGGAGTCCTCCCTACCGTGCCATCATATGCACACCCCTTCGTCTCAGCCACAGCGGTGGCAGCTGTAGCGCTTAGCCACTCATCGGGGACACAAAAAAAAAAAAGGGAGTGAACAAACTAAAATAACTTACAGTATAATCCAATCGGCGCCGGTGTAGTGTCTGCCTATTTACTTGGTTAAGTCGTTGAATGCTGGACCCCGGGTTGTGGCCATAATTTTACGTATTTCTCGCTTTTTTCCTTTTCTCCCTTCCTTCTACTAAACTTCTTCACTTAGATAAAAACTTCAACTTCCATTGTTGGGGTGTGGGTGCACGGGTGTATACGTAGTTTACAAGTTAACAAAGCTGGAAAATTAGCCCTTTTTTTCCTTTTTACTTCATCTGGATTGAAGTGAACACATTGGTTTGCTTTTCTTTTTTTTTGGTTCCTTATTTTTTCTCTTTATTTCTATTTTTTTTTTTTTTTGTTTCGCTTATCAAGTAGTAATGTTAATCCAAAACTTCAAGTTTACAATAATAAGGCTTAGGAGGCTTATGCATTAATAATGTCTAGGAGATTTTACACTAACAATGCTTAAGAAATGCGGCAATCATCATGCTTGTGAGATTTATGCACTAACCATGTTCAGGAAATTTTCGCACGACTTTTGCTTTTAGCCACCCTTTTATATGGAAAGGTATTTTTTTCTTTTGCTTTAAAACCGTTTCATTGACGCTTTGGAGTTTTCTGAGATTTTTTTGTACGCAGCGAAATCTCCTTTTTTTTTCTCTTCATCAATCTTTTGCAGCTAATTGATGCGAAATTTTTATCAACTCTTCTTTTTGGCACTTAATGTTTGCCGTTGAACTTTTATTTTGGTAAGAATTTCTTATGGAAATCAACAATTTAAAATTAAGAAAATTAATAAAAAAATTACACGACTATTTGTTTATAAATGCCCTCTTTTTCTTTTCAACAATTTTGTACATTATTCACTTGGTAAAAACTTTTTGCTTCTTGTTCAACTTTAGATTCCTTCTTTCTGTTTCTCTCTTTTTTTTTATATTCAGGTAAAAGAAATCATTGAATTAATTATCAAACGGTGACAAGTCCACAACTTTTATGGCTATTAATCGATGCAGAATTTGGATGAATTTTTCTGTCAAATATCACTTAATGTAAATTTAGGATATTTCTTCTTAAAAGTGGAGTTTTTTTTTTTTTTGGTTCACAAAAAACGTTTAACTTTTTATTTATTAAAACTGAAAACACAACTCGCGTACACGTCCGCATTCCATCAGATCCCAAGTTGTTCTCCATGTCGTGGTCAGGTCGTGGTCTTCACATAAGTAAGATACTTTTTGATGGTAGCTGCTTTATACCAGCATTTGACCTCTCCGCTGACCTTTGCAATAACGATTTGTGTGCTAACATTTTAAGGCAAGGAAGCGTACGCATTAAAGCCAAATACGCTCGGGCAATATCATATAACTTACATTGTTTACTGGAAGTGTGATTCGATGTTAGAGATAGATTAAAGCAGAAACCTGAAAATTACGTTTTACAAATTGATCCAGCACTTAAGGCAAGTCTCTCCACAAAAAAGTATTTTAAAAGTGTTTTCCCAGTTAATAATTTAACACGGAAAGTGAGCCCTTAACTTGCTCTTATGAAAGCAAACACGGACTATTCTAATCTAAACATTAGGTTGCCTTTTTCTTTAATTCGAAGTTAGAAGCGGAACACTTTGATTCATATGGTCAAAGTCCATTGAAAAAAACCTATGGCAATTTTCTAAAAAGAAACTGCGACACGCAGCAACTCCAAGGATACTTTTCAAGGACTTGCGGACATTATGCTTTGCTTATAGCTTACATAACAGCCAGCGAAAGAGTTTAAACGCTTATCTCAAACAATTTAGTAAAACTGACTATAGCTTCAATCATAAGAAAATACTCTGTACTATGTAAAAAAGAAATTTTAATAAAAATAAACTAAAGTTTTCTTGTCTAGATATCAATTTCTTTATTTTCATTTCGAAACTCAAAAATAAGTGCATTAGCTATGGATTTATCTCTTCCTCAAAAGACAATATGTTGAATATTATTTTCTTTCAACTTTTTATGCAGGTGGTTGGACGAGAATACTTAAGTAAGACGCTTCGATAAAAATATCCACAGTTAATTCCGCTCAGGTGATTCCAAATAAAGGGCAATTTTCTCTCCAAACTGTGCTGCTTTTGCATTGCTTCTTTTGTACAAGTACTTCTTTTTCCAATCAAGAGTTTGAAGAAACTGACTGACATTCAGTTTATAAAATATATTTATAGATTACAGGGCACACTCGCATCATAATCGCTGCAATTATCAGAAAAATAAAAAAAAAAAAACACATTTTTAATTGTCATTTATTTATTTAGCTTTATTCTATTTTTGCTTTATTCTATTAAATCCTCCAAATTAATTTTAAGAATTTCCCTGTTGAAACTGTCACTTAAAAGTCTGTTGCAGTTCGTAGTAACTGTTGATGTATTAATATTCAAAAGCTCGTCGCTGAAGCTGTCATTGCAATAATGATCATCGTAGTCTGGAGTCCCACTAGGAAGGAACTGTTTGGATTTGATTATTCTCCCTGAAGATTGATTGGAAGACGTTTGCCCAATTAAAGTCCGACCTTTGAGAAATTTAAGCAATTTGAGTAGACGACACTGGAGAATGTCCACTAGGTTGCGTTGATAAAACGATTTCCAAATCGTCTTCGTTGTCGTTAGAAATTGAAATAATTTCGGGAGTTTGTGAAGGTAAAAAGATGACAGAGTCAATCGTCATCTGAGAATCCTAACTTTTTAATGTGATCATTCCCGCAATAGATTGATTTTCATTTTGCCCTGATGATGATGTTATGTTGTTGTTTGGTTCCATTTTTTTTATTTTAAACAATTTGTGTATATAATTTTGTTTGTCACACTTTTTTATTTGATGGTTCGATTATTTTTAGAAATTACTTAAGGGAAAAGTCTGCTTATATAGCAGAGAGTATAGAAATGTGCGAACTTATCTTCCAGCGTTATATGTAAAATTCCCGCTGCCTTTTATTTATTTTATTTATTTTTCTCGAGAAATACTTTTAAGTATGGCCATAAAGTAACAAATGAAATACCACCCGGAGTGCGCTCTATTTTTTTTGTTCCTGGAAATTTGTCTATGCATTTCTATGCATGTTCGTGTTTCTTAGTTGTTATCATTATCATAAATAATGTACGCTTTTGAAAGATTTTTTTTTTCGTTTGTCCACTAGGATCTATATAATGAAGAAAATATTTATCAAAAGACATTTTTGTGAAAGTAATATGAGTTGCGTCCAACTGAAAAGCATATGTTGATACTTTCTTACGAATAATCAATTTTTTGTCGGAAAGTTGAGTTCAGTTTGATTTCGAATTTTCGATAGGTATGAAGAATCTGTTTTTGTTAACTGAAGCGGAGGGTAGAGAGGAAACGTTACGCATGCCAGGGAACGGTCGGCATGTGTTGTTGATGTGAGTTGAAGGTGCCGTGGTATGTGTTTGTTTGGGCGGGTATATCTGTGTGGGTGTGTTTAGGTGTGAAGTAACGTGGTCCTAGCGGACAATCGCATATCCCACGTTCCTCTCTATACATACTACTTTATGGAAAGGGCGTTAAGGAGATAACCAAAAAAAAAATCCTTTTTCCTGCGGGCCGAAATTCCCGTTGACGTTTCCCATATATACATTACTCCTAATAGATTTTTTTAGCCGTCTAAACATTGGCCAACATTTCTTCTATCCCATGTCACACATTCGTGAGTTAATGCAAGTGCAGTCAAGTTAAAGAAATTCACATTTTCCTATTATGAATGTAATGATTTATTACGCGTGCTTATGTATGGACTAATTGTTTCTTTTAGCCGATTTAATATTGAAAGATATTAGCTTTTATTTTACATTGAAGGGATCCAAATGGTGTTGTTCGAATGACATTCATAAGCTATAGAGATGTTTTTCATGAACTTCACACATATAAATCAATCCAGAATAATCTACTTTGAGGTAAACATAATCAGACCGCTTGTTTATATTCTGTAAAATTAAACATTTCAAAAATAATATATGATAGTAATGTCCTACCTACCCAGCTAACGGGATCTCGATCCACATTATGCATAAAATACATAACCTAATAAGACGATATGCCCACGGGGACAGAACTTTGGCAATATTCGGAAAGAATATGACATTCACCTTTAAGAAAAGTTTTGACACATACTAATGTAAGTACTTATAGAGAAGAGCAGAGAAAGAGACGGAGAAAGAAAGAAGGAAAGAAGAGAATAAAATTTTTTTGTACTCATCATGGCAGAGCGAGGGATATATCGCAACATCCGCACCATCCAGGGGAAATTTTCATAGATCCTACAAAGTGTGTATAGTCTTGATCAGTATCGAATTCTAAATCAATCTTAACATGTCGGTATGCCGTGTTGTTCGTTTGTCCGTTTGTGTATTTATCCTCGTCGAAATTTTAACAACGACACGGGCTTTAAATTTAGCAAAAATGAATGCAGAACATGCGCCAAATCAATCAAACGACAAGCTCACAGTGCAATATCAATTGAAAGCACTTTCGTTTGGAACAGAAAAAAGAACAGGGGCTTGTGACCGGACAATGCATTTATAAATTAAGGTTACAGGTGACAATTTATCGAATTAAGTAGCGGTTTCGTAGTGTCAGCAGCAATTAATGGGTTGACACACGGACAAGGGGAGATGATTCAATCCTTTAATCATCACATACTAAGCAAAAGAAATCGAAATGAAAATTCTCAGAAAAATATTAGACTAATTTTAGTACACGTAATCAGATGGCTGCTTAAGGTGCGGCTATAATCAATAAGTGGTTCTATTTACAGAGAAGAATTCCTTAAAAAAGAATACAATTAATAAAATTTACAATAAATTACATAAATAAATGGTTTCTTGACATTTCCAAGTTCAATTCTTCTTCTTCTTCAATGTAGGTCCTCCAAAAGTAGGTCCAATATGGACGTTGAATTTCTTTTAATTAATGTTTTTTGCTGATACTTCAATAAAGTTTTCGTGGAATCACACTTTGACTTGTAATTTGTTAACTAATGACATTAAACACATCACAGTGTTTATGAAAGCGTTTATTATCGTTTATTAACATTAAGGGCACTGTGTGCAGAGGGAGAATAAACATTAAATGTTAATTGATATTACACACATGCACTTGACAGCATCACTCGTGTGTATGGTTAATGGGTTATATACGTTAATAATTCTAATATCGAAGTTTGTGGGTGTATTGTAAAAATGTTATAATTTATAAATAATTAGATGGCAGCATTCTATTCTAGCTAAATACAAGTTGTACACATACACACGTACAATGAGAGACATAAGAGAAAGAGAAACAGTGGTATTTATCATTAACTTATCTTAATGTATAGATATATATACCAAGAGAAAGACGAAAAGTGTTTGTAGACGGCGGCTTCCGTCAGTTTTTTTTTATTGTCAGATACAGTAGAAGGTTTACATGCCTCTTATGGAAGGGAGAGTAAATATCAAGGATCAAGCCAGTCAATCATAAAAAGTACCTTGTCTAGCCTATCAACATCGCTGGGAGAATATTGTAACTTCATCCTTTGTATGCCACATTCTGTTCCTACGAACATTGTAGACGAAGGATAATATTCCTCGCCAACGTTATACAAAATATGCAACTCCAGCATGGAAAAATTTCAGTAAGATGTTTATTAAACTGGGGCTACACAAGGTATATACATTTTTGGCCAGAATCAAAT